AAATATACCATACAAAAGGGCTGTGGAAGAACTCCACAACTGTTCTTATTATGGAGGTAAGTAATGGCACCTGAGAATGTTAGACAGAAACAACCAGTCATTTATAGTGAATAACCCTATGGCCTTGCCAAGTAGGTCTCCCCAAGAATGTCTAGTGGGTAGACGTGTTATATACTAGTTAATACTGCTGTATATTTCCATGGCCCTTGGCATATTCCTCCTTTTCTGCTTAATGAAAACGGTTGATAAAGTATGCTAAGTAATGCAAACAGTTCATTAGAGTCTCTTGGCATTTAAAATGTTTAAGTTTCCCACTATAGGCAAAACTATGTCATGCCTTGCTGTTACTGCTAGGGTTTTGTTCAAATTACACTTTTGGGTCATTTAGATTATATTTCTAATTACTGGGCACAAAAATAATTTTGACTTGCTATCAAATTCCAAATAGAGGACAGCTCACCAAATAGGTTTCAAAATAACCTTAAAAAGTAAACTACTCCTTTGTTTAAAGGAACTCACCCTACTTTGGCTGCTCTCAGTAATCAATCGCCTATGTCTCTTGACAAGAAAACTCACAGAATCAACTAACCTGGGCCCATAGGAGCTCACAAAGACAAGCAACAACCAGAGAGCCTGCACAGGACTGACCTAGGCCTTCTGCAAATATGTTGCAGTTGTGTAGTTTAGTGCTCTTGTGGGACTCCTAACAGTGGGAATAGGGGTTGTCTATGACTCTTTTATTAGCTTTTAGGACCCTGGGTCACCCTGCCCAGCCTTAATACATGGTGAGGGTTTTAGTCTTACTGCCACTTGATATGCCTTTTTTGATACTCACGGGAGACCTGTTCTTTCCTAAACAGAAATGGTGGTGCTGGAGTGTATTTAGAAGGTGTGAACAGAGGAGAGACGAGGGGAGGGGAGAGACGAGGGGAGGGGAGGGACTGGGAGGAGAGGAGGGAAGGGAAACTATGGCAGGGATGTAAAATAAACAAATTTATTAAAAGATAGAAATTTTAAAGAAAAATATTTCTCTGAAAGAGGACATCGTATTTACTGAACTCTGTACATAAGAGTTTCCATTAAAATATGCTATGTAAAAAAAGACCATGTCAAAAAACAGGTAGGGATGGAAACTAACCTGACAGTACAGGCATTTGCTTTGAAGCATGATGACCTGAGTTTGATACCCAGGACCGACATGGCAGAAGAGATCCATTCTTGCAAACTGTCCTAATTCCACATATGCACTGAAACACATCTGCATAAATAAATAAATGTAAGAAAAATAAGGTAGATACGTGATTGCAAAAGGTTTCACAACATCAGCCTCTAGACTCCCAATACAACTGCACAGGCAAGCATACTCAGGTGTGTGTGTCGACACACATCTCTGTCACACACATACTAAACACAAAAAAATTAATTAAAAAGGAAAAGTCTTGTCAATTATAAGAAAATGGATGAAACTGGAAGTCATCAAGTTAAGGAAATGAGCCCTAGTCACAAAGACAAATGTGAAATCAATCCCCCTCCATATCCTTCTCTCTCTCTCTCTCTCTCTCTCTCTCTCTATATATATATATATATGTATATATGTGTGTGTGTGTGTGTGTGTGTGTGTGTATCAAAGTAAGAAGGGGGTTATTTGAAGAGAATGGGGGACCAGTAAAAGAGAGACAAGAGGATAAGGGGGAATGACTATGAGCAAAGTAGATAATATGCACACATGAAAATATAGTAAAACCCACCATTTTACATACCGAACATATTATAATTTTACAAGAATATTTACAATTATCTGATGGTATCAGGAAAATTATCTCTTTTTTCTCTTTGTAAAACTATAATAGATAAATCTTATCAAAAACTTAAAAATAACTTTTGTGCTGTAGACATGTACTTGCTCCGGCTGCGCGTGTCTGGCTGTGAGTTAGAGGGTAACCTCAGGTATTTCTCCTTGAGACTGCCATCTCTTGTTTCATTATTCTGAGACAGGATTTCTTTGTGTAGCTCTGGCTGTCCCAGAACTCACTTTGTGGACCAGGCTGGCCTCAAACTCACTGAGATCACCTCTCTCTACCTCCAAATGAGCTGGGATCAAAGGACTGTGCCACCACTGCTGGTGGCATCTTTTGTTTTGCTCTTGACAAAGCCAGGCTAGTTGGCTTCTGAGCTACCTGCTGCTACCATCCTTCTTCCCTGGAGACTACTGGGATTATAGATACCACTCACCATACCTGGCCTTGTGTAGATTCTGAGGATTCAAAACTCTGGTCCTCAAGCTGTGTGGCAATTACTGCTAACCACTGACCCGTGTCTCCAGACTCTAAACATTTTTTGTAACAACAAAAACTGTTTTAGAAAATGCTCTAACCATGCTTGGTAGTGCACACATTTAATCTTAGCATTTCAGAGGCAGAGGCAAAGGCAGGCTGATCTCTGTGAATTTTAGGCCAGTCAGGGCTACATAGTGAGACCTTGTCACACAAAAACAAAACCTCACAAACAATTCAATATTCCCATCGCTCAAGGAAAGTTACTAAAATGTTATATAATATTCCAGGTTTTTGTTTTTTGTAGTTGTTTTTAAGACAGTCTCTCTCTACATAGACCCAGCTGTCCTGATACTCTGTAGACCAGGCTGGCCTCAAACTCAGATCCACCTGCCTCTGCCTCCCAAATGCTGAGATTAAAGGTGTGCACCACTGCCCGATAATGTTAGAGGTTTTTTAATGCATACAAACCTATTTTTTATAAAAATGAAACCAGAAAGATTTTCTTTTTGGTTTTTCAAGACAGGGTTTCTCTTGGAACTAGTTCTGTAGACCATGCTGGCCTCAAACTCAGAGATCCCCCTCCCTCTGCCTCCTAAGTGCTGGGATCAAAGACGAGTGCCACCACCACCGGTGGGAGAGAGATTTTTTTTTTTGGTTTTACGAGACAGGGTTTCTCTGTATTGTTTTGGAGGCCGTTGGTCCAGCCCGGCCTGGAACTCAAAGAGACCCGCCTGCCTCTGCCTCCCGAGTGCTGGGATTAAAGACATGCGCCACCACCGCCCGTCAAGAGAGAGAGAATTTTTTAAAGGCAAAAAGAAATCGACTTTCCCCTAACTGCCCCCTTGAGTCCACCTCCCTGAAATAACAACTGTTTAAAAGTACGGCATTAATACTCTCCCACCCCACTTCATTTTATATATAAAGAGAAATACACAAAACGGATATATGTATATTCTTACTTTATACATTTCCCAAAAACAGAATCAGAGTGGGGACTGGTGGTATTCACATTTAATCCCAACACTTAGGAGGGAGACAGATGTTATCTTCTGTAAATTCGAGGCCAGTATGGGTCTACATTGTGAATTTCATTCTTTAAAAAAAAAAAAAGCAGAATCGCCGGCACCGGCCCCAGCACTGGGGAGGCAGAGGCAGGTGGATCTCTTAGTTCAAAGTCAGACTGGTCTACAGAGTTCCAGGACTGACCGGGCTGCTACAGAGAAACCCTGTCTCGAAAACCCAAAAAAGGGGATCATAGAAAATACCCTCAAACTATACATGTCCTTTTGCCATTTGGTCCTCAACATAGGCCCACAGTAACAAACTAAAATTTAGTTAAGAAGGTCATATAATGAATGGCAAAAAGGACTCAGCCAGTGATTTCGTTTCTAAGGTATAAATCTCAAAAAGTTACTTAGCATATTTTCCCATGTTTAAGATTTATTTACACTTATGGGTGTTTTGTTTGCAGTATATCTGCCCACCAAAAGAGGCCACCAGACCCATAGAACTAATAGCTAGAGGCTGTGAGCTACCATGTGGGTACTGGGACTTGAATTCAGGACCTCTGCGAGAGCAGCCAGTGCTCTTAACGATGTGCCATCCCTCCAGTGCCCCTCTCTGAGCATTTTGACAGACATAACAGATACTTCTGATGCCGGGAGAAGAGTGATACCTGCGTAATCTCCGAGGGTTTCAGTAGTGAACGCCAAGGAATGAAAAGGTACCCGATTACGAACTGCCACATGTCATGGCGCTTGAAGCGGTAGTGGCAGCAGGTGGAACTTAGAGGTGCTTCTTTTGGGGGCAAATAAATGACCACAAATCATCATGGTGAACTATGGCAGATGGCACTAACCCCAGACTATACTCCCTTCTTTCGGTTACATCAGGAAAACTGTGTGGTTGGCGGTTTCAAGTCTGGAACGTTCCACACATAAGAGCGGGCTTTTCAAGCTCGGGATAAACTATTACACTCGGGGGGTACAACTTTCGAAACTTGCTTAGATTTATTTATTAATTTATGTATAGATTTTGGGGGGTTCTGTTTCACTTACGTTTCTTTCTGTCTTCAAGGGGTTTCACTCCTACCAACAGTTTGTTCTCATTTTTTTTCTGGCAAGCAGGAGGCACTCCCTAACCTCTCCCTGCCAGTCCTTGAAATTGGAACAGTCCAAGAGCAAAACTCGCGAGATGTCCAAACGAGACTTGGTCCTCGCCAGTTATTTCGTCTGGAGTTGTCTGAGAGCAAGGACTGGACTTTGGCTCGTTCTCCGTCCCCTTTCGTTGGTGGGCTGGTCTTGCAGCCGATGTGTTGGACCTGTACCTCCTCTGGCCACTAGCTTGGAAAGGTGAGTCGGGGTGGGGGTGGGGGATGGGGGGAATGTCCTTGAAACATATAAAGCCTTTCAAGGAGTCACCTTTTTTTTGGTTTTTCAAGACAGGGTTTCTCTGCGTAACCGCTCTTGCTATCCTGGAACTCGCTCTGTAGACTAGGCTGTCCTCGAACTCACAGAGATCCCCCTGCCTCTGCCTCTTGAGCGCTAGGATTAAAGGTGTGCAAGCACCACCGCAATGCTCCACGGAGTCACTATTAAATAAATGTGGCTAGCAGATCACAGGGGAAGGGAGAGCTAAGGATTTGATGGAAGGCTTAAGGGATGAGGTTGTCCTAAAAAGACCCACAGCAGACTTTTCTGTTCTTACAGGGTCAGCAAAGCCATCATGAATCCCGAGGATCCTGCCAGTGGGTTCCGGCATGACAAGGTGTTAATGTTCATCAATGAGCAAATGTCCAAGGACACAATAGGCCCCCAGTTCTACCTTGAGAACTTGTCCCTGTCCTGGGAGGAGGTGGAAGAAAAGCTCAGAATCCTCCTGGAGGATAGCGAGATGCCTAGGCAGGTTCAGGAAGCCTGTGCCTGGGCCAGCCTGGCCTTGGGTGTTCGATTTGCTTGGAGGCAAGTCCACTTGCAGGGGCGCCGAGTGCAGTGGCTGCACGACTTCGCCTGCCTGCACAGGTCAGCGGCACATGCCTTGGCATCAGACCTGAAGAAACTCACAGAGCAGCAAGAGATGGAACGCAAGGAGGTGGCCTTCCAGCTGCAGCTGGCCCACACCAAACTGGCAGAGGTGCAGAGAGAGCGGGACCTGATGAGACTGAAGCTACTACATGCAGTAAGATTACCTCCTAACCCAGTCTTACTCCTACACCCTATGCCCATACCCCATTCCCGAATATGTCTCAACGCTACCCACTTCTCTCCAGGAGCTGAGGGCCTTTCCAGCTGCAGACATGCCAGTCGTGACTACAACTACAGCCCCTGCTACCGCTGGAGGGGCGGAGACAGAGACAAAACCTGCAGGAGGGGGAGAAGACGTGACATCTAGTGATAGTGCAGTGCAGGAACCAGAAAAGCAGATGGAGGGGGCTACAGCCACGACTGCCCCTGGGGAGCTGGCAGGCACGGGACAGCTAGAAGGAAGCATCCTGGATCATTTCGGAGCTGTGGAGTGGAAAAATTATCCCTTGGGCTTTTCGGGAGAGGAGGGAGGGGAGGGAAAAGAAGGAGAGAAGGGGGAGGGAGAGGGGGAAGGGGAAGGCAAATCTATGGCAACCCCTATATGTTCTGAGTCTGAGACCTTAGATCTCAGTTCCACAACCTCCCCGCAACCTGTCACTGTCCAACTCCCTGCCTCATTCACATACTCCTATGAAAGCCCCTTTCCTGTCACACCCACCCCATCACCGCCACCAAGCATTCTTACGGAACCGCAGATGCCTCCGTACTTCATGGCCACTGATATGAATATGTCTGACACTGAGGGCCCAACAGTATACCTCCAAGAACCCCCGAAAGAGAGCCAAGACAATGGAGGCCAGCAGCAGAGCAATATGCCCCTTTCCAGGACTGGGAATTGGGATTGTCCTTGGTGTAAAACCGTGAATTTTTCACAGAGGGATAGCTGCTTCCACTGTGGGAGGCAAATGTGGGTGACAAGCCCTCAGTGAGTTCAGAAATGTGATACAGAAATTTCCCATAGGGAAATCAGTTTCAAAGGTGGGAGAATGGGAGGGGGTTCATGGGAATGGGGAAATGGGATGGGTACAAATGGTGTGGGAGGGACAAGTTTTCTTTTTTTTGTATTCCAGATCATTAGTATTTGACACCCTAGAACTGCTTCGTGTGGGGGGGCCGGGGGGTGTGTGGGTGTGAGTATCCTCCCTCCCTAGTGTCTGGGGTGTGTGTGTGTGTATTTGGGTGTGAGTATCCTCCCTCCCTAGTGTCTGGGGTGTGTGTGTGTGTGTGTGTGTGTGTGTGTTTGGGTGTGAGTATCCTCCCTCCCTAGTGTCTGGGGTGTGTGTGTGTGTGTGTGTGTGTTTGGGTGTGAGTATCCTCCCTCCCTAGTGTCTGGGGTGTGTGTGTGTGTGTGTGTGTGTTTGGGTGTGAGTATCCTCCCTCCCTAGTGTCTGGTGTGTGTATGTGTGTGTATTTGGGTGTGAGTATCCTCCCTCCCTAGTGTCTGGGGTGTGTGTGTGTGTATTTGGGTGTGAGTATCCTCCCTCCCTAGTGTCTGGGGTGTGTGTGTGTGTGTGTGTGTGTGTGTTTGGGTGTGAGTATCCTCCCTCCCTAGTGTGTGGTGGGCCTAGGCAGCTAAATATATAAAGACCCTACCCTTTTCACACACCTAGACATTAAAAGATGGAGCCTGAGAGTTTATTTGGCCCATTCTGACACAAAGATTTTCAGGCTGGAGAATATAAACATTCAATTGTCAAGATAGTTTGGGGTAAAGTGTCAGTGGATCACGGACGTTGGGGCCAGGGTCATAGCCAGTGATTCTGGAGGTCACAGTACATCCCTGGCCCTGGCTGCTTTGCAAACATTTTTAGACAGATGCTAGAGACCCCGGGGAGCTGACAAATAGGAAGAGGTTCAGAGGAATGGATCTGCTGACCACAGAGAACTCACCTACTTTTTATCTCTTTGCAGTTGTGTTACACAAGGTTCCATTTATCTAGATCCATTCTTTAAGCTAAAAAGTAGGTTCCTGTTCAGAGCAACGAGATCATTCTCTCATCAGGCAATTTTTCTTTAAAAAAAAAACAACAATAACCAAGGTCTCATGTAGCCCAGAGTGGCCTCAAACTATGTAGCTGAGGATGACTGACTCCTGATCCTCCTGCCTCCTCTTCCTAAGTGTTGAGCTTATAGGTGTGGATTGCCATGGCTGGATCAGAAAAGTAGTTTCAAAACAATGCATGAAAACGTGATAGGATTGGCAGGGGAATTGAAGAAGTGGAGGACAAGCAGAGAGGATTCCTTTATCCCAAGTGTCCAGGAATGAACTGGGCAGGATGGCTGCGTTCTGAGGGAATTCTATTACCAGAAACGGGTCAAGCCTCCACTACTTGTTCCCAGTAGTGAATAGGATAGGAGGCCCACGTTCTGTGAGAGTAATACGACAAGAAAGGAATCCATCAGATGAAACCTGTGATGGGTTATCCTCAGGTTTATGCTCAACTCAAATTAACATGGCAGAGATTTGTCACCCTTATGAGAACTCTGAGAGACTATGGAGGATGCCAGCCAACACCAGATGCAAGCAAGGACTTCTGTGATTTTTGTTTGGTTTTTTGAGATAGAGTTTCTCAATATTGTTTTGGAGGCTGTCCTGGAACTCACTCCATACACCAGGCTGGCCTCGAACTCAGAGATCCACCTGCCTCTGCCTCCTGAGCGCACCACCAACGCCTGGCTGTGACTATTAACTTGAACTCTTCCCTGGTCCCCAGTGGGCAGAACCGTGGACAGGTCTGAACTGGAAACTCCACTGCTACAAGGTGAGTCAACCTCTGATCGGACACAGAGGGTTTGCCAGTCTAGGTGAGCATAGTGCAGTCTGGTGGGAGATTCTCCCTTCTGACTCAGCAGCATGCTACATGAAATAGAATGTGGATTTTAAAGGCTCTCAGTGTACTCTGAAATGCAAAGTGCAACAGAACCCTGTCTTAGTGGGGAAGGGACTGTGGAAGACGGGAGTTGGGGGACAGTAAGGAGTAGGAGAGAGATCAGTCTGCTTCAAATGTGCTGAGAGGAACTATATATGTGTTTTAGTCCTCAGGTACCTGGACCAGACAACTGAAAGAATTCGGACCATCTCCTAGAGACTATGAACCTGAAGAATACAAAGCATGGGACACCTGTAACAGCAGAAATGTGACTTTGCATTGTCTGTTGTTGGTGACAGTACAGTTGTCTTCTGTTGCAGATCTCCAACCTGCAATTTTTTGAACATCCTTTGGGGTTTGTTTATCTCTGTCTACTGCAGAGTTTCCTAACCTCCTTGCACTGGATTTTGATAGTTCTTTGCTGTGGGGTAAGAGTTCCTGTGCATTGTAAGGGGTGAGCAGACTCTTAGCCTCTACCCACAATGTCTGTGTGACCCACTCCCCCATCCTTTTAGTTTTGACAACCAAAACTGCCTTGCATAGCGCTGCATGTCCACTAGAGGGCAAAAAACCAACCTGAGTTGGGAACCTGTCAGGCATTCATTGCTTGGCCATGGGAATGGATAGAGTCAAAAGACAAGGATACAGAAGCTGAAGCTGGCTGAAAAATGTTCTCTGGGTCTGGTGTTTACTTTGGATCTTTAAGAAAACTTAGGGTGGTATAAAAGCTAACTGCCAGAACTGAGGGGTGAGGGGAACTTCTACAACAGTGGTTCTTAACTTTCCCAACGCTGCAGCCCCTTACTACAGTTCTTTGTGTTGTGGTAACCTCCAGCTATAAAATTACTTCATTGCAGCTCCACAACTGTAATTTTGATACTCCTATGAATTGTAATGGAAATGTCTGCTCTTCAGTGGCCTTAGGTGGCCCCTGTGAAAGGGTTGTTTGACAGTTTGAGAGCCACTTCTCTACCAGGACTAGGCTGAGAAGGAAGAAGTCGAGAGAGGTACAGGGTTAAGAGAGGGCGATTTTGTCACTTAGCCAACATGCTTGGGAAAAGACATTTGGGTGGAATATCTGACAAGCATTTAAACTAATAAAGGCGGTACTTTTGGTAGAGATTTCCTGAGAGAAAATATTGCATCCTTCGGGAAAGCTCCTTAAGACTCAGATGTTCTAAAGGAAGCCTCATTGATAGAAACTTGAGCCACTAAAGGCAATAGCATAGAAAGCTTTAAATGCAAGAGAAGGAAAAAAATGATCTTGTGCACTGTAATGTAAGGCTGTATGGGAGGCGTAGCCAATGGTATTAAAAGAAAAACAGTACTGTGAAAGGGATCATTTTTGTTTTGTATAAAATAAAAACACTTAAAGTTCTTAGGTATGTATACATAATACAGAAATACGTTACCAACTTTATATCTTGTATCTACGAAGTTTGCATTTCAGTATGAATTTAAAAGGTATGGAAAGGCATTCAGCAAACAAGGTATCAGGCAGGGAACAGAAGGCAGCGTGATACGGGATACAAGACAGAGGACAGGGAAGTTTGAATAAAAGGTTTTCCTTTCTGTACCTGTGTTTTGAAAGTGCTAAGATGTTCACAGAAATAAAGAAAATTAACTTACTCATTTGGAAAAGCTGTTTCTTCCTTGGCGATAGGAGGAAACCGGGAAAGCAGAACTGGTACCTGTGGCAGAGCTGGGATTCCAGGTGGCCAGGCTGCGTGCATGCGTGTGAGGGGGCAGTGCACCCTCAAAACAAGTGAGGACAAAAGTCTAGGGCAGTGAGAGGCCAGGATTTGAACATCGTAGGAATAAATGAAGCATAGAGGAGGACATGGACAGAGAGAACAGGATCATCAAGCTGAATGGACCAGCATAGGACCAAACTGAAAGGAAACTTAGACAATCAAGAGTCTGGTAGATGGGCAGGGCGGTGGTGGCGCACGCCTTTAATCCCAGCACTCGGGAGGCAGAGCCAGGCGGATCTCTGTGAGTTCGAGGCCGGGCTGGACTGATAGCCTCCAGAACAATACAGAGAAACCCTGTCTCAAAAAAACCAAAAAAAAAAAAAAAAAAAAGAGTCTGGTAGAAAAAAACAGATTGCTCGTCTGGGACTCCAGGGCACCTAACACAGAATTTACACAAGCACTCCGACATACCACACCTCTCATTGTAGCAGAAACACATCTAATGGAGAAAGGGAGGGATGGATGGAGTTCTTGGACTCAACCATTGCTATGCACTCAGGGCTTGTAGTATCCCCCATGTGCTGTTCCACTGTGGATGGATAAGCTGAGTCCCGGCTATATTTTGTTTTCAGGCCCAATCTTCTGGAATTCGAGTGTCTGGTAACCCAATCTTTAATAGGTTAAGAGTCTAAAGCAAACTTCAATTTACTTGAGTCTTTGCTTTTACAGCATGGACTACACAGAACAGGTGTAGCTGACACACTGACAATTGTGCAACTGGAAGGACCTAATAGAGAAACCAAAAAATAGGTTTAAGAGCTTATTTGAAGCATTAATTTACCTCTTAAAATTTACTTCATCTTGCACACAAGGAAATTAACGACAAAAAAGGTTAATTTGGTCAACGTGCCACACACAGGGCCACATGCTGATCTGAGTGGCTGGCGCTGCCACCTAGAGCTACGGGGACATCCAAACACAGGCCACTGCCTAGGTTCACGTCTGGGTCTGTGGTCCCATGGCAGCTGGGGTCTGAGGTGGGGTCTGAGTTGGGGTCTGTGGCTCCTATTACCACCAAGGGCTTTGTGGATGCCCAGGTTCTGGGCAGCTACCTGGGACCAAGTTGGTGGCCCGGAAGCCATGCTGCTGCCAGGGCTGTGCTGATCTGGGTGGCTTGTGCTGCCACTAGGACTGGTGGTACCCCGGCAGAGCTGCTGCGGAGGGCCATGTCTGGGTCCATGGTCCTTCTGCAGTTGGGGTCTGTGATGATGACCATGGCCCTCTTTAGCTCAGGGGTTATTGGAACCATGCTGTGCTGAACTAGTCCCGCCTCTCACTGGCCCTGGGTTGGCTGGTCCTGCCCCTAGCTGGATACTGCAACCGAATGAGCTGGCCCTACCCCTGAAGGGAGAGTTCGCCATCCCCCAGCCCCCTGCACTTGGGAAAGATGGCCCCATCCCTCACCACAGGTTCGCACAGGGCAACACACTAGAACTGACCCTGTGGTCAGAACGCAGGTGAGCTGACTCTGAGGGCATGAGAGGAGGAGCTCATCCCAGCCCTATTCGTCTGTCACATGGTGGTATGAGTAAGACAAAGATGCTCTTCTCCCTTCATCCATTCCCACCTGTGCCAAATGAGAGAGCAGGTCCTGGGGTCATGAGAGTGACAGAACTGTTCCTCACCACCTGCAGCACACAGGAGCACAGGGCAAGCACCCCACCTGGGCAGCATGCTAGAGCTGAGCCTGTGGTGGGGGATGCAGGTGAGCCGACCCTCAGGGCTTGGGATCAGGGGAGCTGACCCCCCATCTTCCATGCAGTGGTATTGATGAGAGAAAGATGTAATCCACACCTCACCACCTATAGCCGTCAAGAGAACTGGCCCCAGGGCCCATGAAACAGAACACACACTGACCCACACCACCCACAGCAAACAGAGCAGGCCCTGCACCCCACTAGAGCTGACCCTCTTATCTTGGGTGCAAGGGAGCCAGCCCTGAGGACATGAGAGGAGGAGAGTTGACCCCTCCCCACCCATCCCCCTACAACAATCAGGAGAGAGGGTCCTGGGCAAAACAGTAGAGATGGTACTGCTTATGTGACAGTGGGGGACCCAGATCTGAGGACCCTCAAGCAGAAAAACTGGCCCCACCCCCTTGCTGTAGGATGCAATTGGTGAGCTAACTGAAGCAGTGCTGGAGAGCCTACTCCGGCAATGATGATGAGGGAAAGAAGCTGGTGGGCTCACCAACTCCTCCACCACCCAGAACCAGGACTACGAGTTGGCCCACCCCAACACCCACTGAATCTGTAACTGGTGGAGCATGTGAAGGGCACAGACCTACAGATCCAAAAGTGCAGGATCTCCGTGACACAGGACAACACGCTATCCAAAAGGAGCCTCGGTGAGAGCACAGTATCAGTGACATAGCAGAAGCCAGAGGCCTGGAGCCAAAGCAATGATTCATAGCAATGAACACTTACAAGTAAAGATGAATGGACTAAAGGGTAAACTGATGTTTTTAAATGCTGTTGCCTTTTAAGCTACCGCTATCCTATCCAGCAACGGTTAACTCCACGGCTTACCAGAAGCTGCTGGGCCACAAGAACTGAAGCCTGGGAGAATTCTGTTCCCTCAGGCACCAACTCTTTCAAAGCTACTAAAGAAACTTATTTAAATCCTGCCCCGCTAAGAGCTCAAGAGTCAAAGGTTGAGGTGGAATCCTGCTTCCCACAGAGACTGAACAGCAAACAGCGCACTCACCTCACCTCCTTGAGTCTCCCAAGCAGTCCTTGTGCTTTTTCTCACCCCTCCTTATAAACCCTTCTCCACCTGGCTCCTCCCTACAATTTCCTGTCAGTTAGTTGCTGCCCCAGCCTCCTGACTGCAGGTGAATTTTCTTGTTTTTTTGTTTTTGTTTGTTTGTTTGTTTGTTTTGGTCTTTCAAGACAGGGTTTCTCAGTATTGTTTTAGAGCCTGTCCTGGAACTCACCCGGTAGAGTAGGCTGGTCTCAAACTCACAGAGACCCACCTGTCTCTGTCTCCCAAGTGCTGGGATTAAAAGCATGTGCCACCAACACCCGGCTCTGCAGGTGAATTTTATGTAATCAAACACATCTTTGCAGCATTAAACAAATGTTCCAGAGTATAAACAAAAGAAACACACCTTAAAATAATATTCTACAACAGTAAACTGTGTGACTCAACGGGCCACACAGAAGCTTCCACAAGATTCACTTTTGGTTTCTTTGGTTTTTTTCTTTCTTTTAAATTTGATCTTGATTTGGGGGGAGGATGTTGCAAGGACAGAGGGCAGATGTGAGAGGGCAGAGAGATAAGCAGAATCAGAATGCAAGATATGAAACCCACAATGAATCAAAAAAAGTTAATAATTGATCAAGGTCATGTAGGTAAGTTAGCCAGGTCTGACTCCAAGGGCATATTATGTGTCAAGGACCAAGGTGAGCACGAATTAACTCAATGAGAAGTGCTGTAATCACTACTGTATTTATTAGATAACGTTTTAAGCACTTTTGCATGAGGTATATGTGTACATTTGCAGTGTGCACATGTTGTAGGGATCCTGGAATTATGCTGACCCTGCCCCCTGACAATGGGCAAGATACACACTGGCATTCAGGCAAATACTTAGACAGCTCAAAGAGTCCTGTGTTGCGTGGCTACACCATGGCTATGCCCTGCATTATGTGGCCACGTAAGGACTTTGTACGCATGTGCAAGCTTCCCCTTTTATACGAGTGCTTCCTACCCCTTCCCTCTCTTCCATCTCTGTTCCCAGTTAGCTAACACCTACCCTTCTCTTTGTTCCCTTTCCCCAATAAACTCCACGTGGGTTATGTTGAGTTTTGTGGTTCGTGTTTCATCGCCCGCAGCTGTAATTGAAGAAAAATAACAACACGTGCTTCTATAGGAGGTACACATGTACATAAGCATACATGCATATTGAGACCAGAGGTCCGTATGGACTGTCTTCTTCTATTGCTCTCTGCCTTATTTCTTAAATATTTATTTTAATTTTGTGTGCATGGGCATTTTGCCTGCATATGTATGTCTGTGTACCACATTGTGCAGTACCTGAAATGTCCAGACGATGACATCAGATCTCCTGAGACTGAAGTTACAGAGCATTTCAAACCTCCACGTAGGTGCTGGGAATTGAACCTGGGTCCACCAGAGGAGCGCCCAGTGCTAAGCCATCTCTCTAGCCCCATGCATGTTCTTACACTGCCCTGAAGATCAGCAATTCAGCAAGAGTAGCTGGCCAGAGAGCTCCAGAGATCCTCCAATTTGTTTCCCCAGCACTAAAATTACAGGCACATGCCACCATATCTGAATCTTTACATAATGCTAACAAATCTAAACTCGTGTCCTGATGGTTGTGTGACATGAATTTCATTAATCAGGGCATGTCACCAATCCTGTAACATATTCTTTTTTTGAGGCACGGTTTCTCCCTGTAGCCCTCACTATCATGGAACTCCCTCTATAGACCACTCTGGCCTCAAACTCAGAGATCCATATGCCTCTGTCTTCTTCTGAGAGTACTGGGATTAAAGGCATGTGTGACCACTCCTGGCTATATAATATTTCTTGACTGACAGTATTAGTTGTCAATGACAGTGCTTAAAAAACAGTTGAGTAATACATTGTCATGTGGCCAGTATGCTTGAGAATGGATACTGGATGAAATTTCCGAAAAGCATTTAAACTCCCTGACAAAGGCAGTAAGGATTGGGGTTAGGGTACTTGTGTAGTAATTTCTTTTGATATAAAACGCTCCATCCTACAAGAAAACTCTTAAGACTCGCATGTTCTAAAAGGAGGCTCATATTAAGATTCAGGATGTATTGGGCAGTGGTGGCGCACGCCTTTAGTTCCAGCACTTGGGAGGCAAAGGCAGGTGGATCTCTG